CTCATTTCGTTGAAAGTTGTGATGTGGTTGAGGGTGAATTTGGTAAGCCTGGCTCTATCATCCTTTGGAAGTACATAACAGGTATAAGTACTAAATTAAATTGACTACTTATCGTTATACTCTTAATTAACTAAGTTATTTACGTACTATGAAATTATCATTAATACCCAAAAGATACACTCCCTCTGTATCACAATACTTACAATGTTAACAATTGAATATTTTACCTCTTACAAATAATACCAAATGTTACAAGTATTGTGTTACGGAGGGTGTATGAACGACAATGACATATTCCTTCCCTTTCCTTCCCTTCTTAAATTTCTTCATTATTAAATGGTGGATAATATTGAGTTCTTCATTATTAAATGGTGGATAATATTGAGTACTTTACACACACACTAATTTTTATTTTTTTTGTTTTGAGGGTATTTTATACTTTATATTTATATACGGAGTATGTGAAAGAAAGAATACATATCAAATTATCAAGTGACCATTGTTTATACCAATTTCAAAAAAGTTTGGCCCTTGCACGCAGTTTGTAAATTATATTTGTATTAAATTCTTATATCTTAATTTATACTTATATAGTCATACGGTCTTACATGTATTAAAATATATTTCAACTCCTTATACTCTGTATAAAGAAGAAAAAACGATAATTTATTACGTTAAATATATTAATCAATAAAAATAAGTGACACACTTATAATACACGAAAAAAGTGAGATAGAGAGGCATTAAACCAATTAATGTGCTAACACACTTATGTTCCTCGTTTCGGTTATCATGATAGGTGGGAAGCCTCTTGTAGCGAAACGAGCATAGTGAGGTGGACACTCGAGTACGAGAAACTCCATCCCGGTGCCCCTGAACCAACTGCTTTGCTTGATCACATGCTTAATGCTGCCAAAGACATCGATGATCATCACCATGACATTAAGAAGTATACTACAGTTGATTTGTAATACATACATGTCTTAAAGTAAAGTATATTTTGTGCTTAAGGCTTTTATGTCATAAGTCATCCGTTATGTAAACGTGTTTGTTTTGTAGTACCAATTAATATGTACGCTATAATTGTTGCTTGGAATAATTTGCTTCATAAATCATCATGTACCCCGGCCACTACTTGGTGTGTATTTGTGCAATAATTATATAATATACGTGTGTTTAATGACGTCAAATTTTTTTCTTAGTTGCGTGCATCGGTCAAAGCAAGCCAACTTTGGTCACTTACATACCTTTCATTCTTGGACCCTAAAAACAATGCCTCTTTTTATTTAAAAGTTGTAATTTTTAACATGATTACTCTCTTTTTGATGAGTTGTCATTCTTTTTTCTTTTATTTGTTGTACTTTTAACATCAATTTTCAATACTTTATCTCTCAATCTCTTCAATTATTCTCAACTACTTTACAACTTTCTTCATTCTTGCGTAAAAATCTAAATAGGCATTGTATTATGAGACGGAGGGAATATAGTTTAGTTCATTTCAATCTAGTTCAATAAAAAAAAATAGAGCCTTATAGATACAATTTAGAGATCATATTTGGAAACCATTTACCAATCATATATCGGTCAAGCCGAGCTCAAACCTAAACGAGCCAAGCTTTGACCGAGTGAAATTGTGAAATTTGAGCTATTCACACAGGTCCGACGACTCATTATCATACCTACCTTAAATAAAAGATTTACTTTCATTCTTGCGAGAGGCACTTCTTTTCAAAGTTTTACCACATCGAGCTCAAATTGCCAATCAACAGTTCAAGTCAATTAGCAACCTTAGTATAAATACTTGTAACTAAGTCACTTGCCCCCTTCCCCTCCTTAAAATATTTTAAAAACATCCATGTGTACCGTGCATCCAACTAACCTAAAAATTAGTTTTTGCTTTTACTGATGATTGAATGAAAAACAATCATCAAATTGAGAACAAAATGCTCATGAGTGTACCGTTGATGGGCGTTAGAACGGTCGTACATTCCACACTCAATCAAACACATTTATTAACAAACACCTTACAAACCAAGCATAATGACAAGTAAGAGTTCGGTCCACAAGGAATGGGATATGGTTGCCAAAGATCTTTACACTTAAGCTAATTCGAAGTCAATTGGTGAATTGGGGTTCGTCAAGAAGACAAACAAACTATGGTTCTAAATCAATGAATTAAAGATACTAGGGAATGAGATCCACTCAACCAAGGAAAATAGGCAAACGGGGAGTAGAATAGACAAGATATAGCAAGGACTATATGTAAAATCAACCTCATGCAATTAGAAAACAACTCACACTACTAAACTTAGATTCCTCATTAGTTTAGCAATAGATGATACATAATCAAATTACAATAAGTAATGACGTACTCAATTTACACTTCCATGTCAAATTAGGCATATCATACTATCAAGCTCCTAAGTCAAGGGTAGCTAAACCTATCATGAGGAACTAACAAGCAATCTCATATAATCAATTTAATTGCAATACAAACATCAATGCTTCTCCCACATTTGCATAGTTAACCCAAAAGGTCGAGCTTCACCCAACCCCTAGCAAGAAGACTACTCACAGCTCATGTTTATCAACATGCAATCAAGAATTAGGGTTCTAAATACTTCAATAATTGGGGAAAAGTGGTTAACAATTGAAATAACTATCATCCAATAACAAATTACCAAGAACTAAGAAGATTTAAATAACATGCAAATACCAAATAAAATTTGAAATTAAGTGGAAAAAGGTTGGAGAAATTACTAATTGAAGCTTCAAATGTTGAATACAAATTGCCAAACTTTGAGAATAATTCTTGAATTTCACTAATACAATGATTTGATTTGATGAAAACTAAGCTAAATTAATCCCAAGGAATGTTTCAAACTAAGAGAGGTTTCTGAAAACTAGGCTACTGTACCCCCTCTCTAAATGAGCTAAAGGGGAAGTATTTATACTCCCCGAAACACATAGGGAAATCCGTCAAAAGAAAACGGATTCCCAGCGAGGAGCGCCCGCTCCACAATGAGGAGCGCCCGCTCCTAAGCGAGGAGCGCCCGCTCCTTTCGGCTGCAATCCCTCTCCAGAATGCTTCAATGAAGGATCAGATTTGAAAGTGTCAGGGAGGAGCGCCCGCTCCTCACATGATGCACGCCCGCTCCCCTGTTCCAACAGCATGGGCAGATTCAATCTTCAAAGGGAGTAGCGCCCGCTCCTGGTGAGGAGCACGCCCGCTCCTAACAGCACCTGAACTTGGGCAGAACGTAGCTAGAGTCGAGGAGCGCCCGCTCCATGAGAGGTGCACGCCCGCTCCCCTGGAGCGCCCTCTCCAATCCTCAATCCTCTTGTCTTAAACACGATTCATGCACCGAAAGCCTGCCTAATTGAGTCCATAGACCTGCAAAACATAGACAAACACAAACCAAGAGGGGGAAAGCCGAGACAAAACATTTTCATTCAAAATTGGGTTAGAAAGAGGGGAAATGATCGCAAAATCGGGTTTAAATTTACACAATAAGTGGTCAAATAAACCACTTATCAACCGTGCACCCGGGTGTATATAACAATCTCTTTTTCCTCCTCCTCCTCTCTTAGTTCCAAGAACTAATTTTGTACTACTGTTTAATATAGCTTGATTAGCTGTTGAATAAATTTAGAGTATAGTGGGCTAAATTCATGTTATTTGATTAATTTACGTAGGTTATGGTGTTGTGAATTAATTAATCAAGATTATTAGAGCAAATAATCTTGGTAGAAAGGAAAAAGAATCTCGGTGAAGAGAAAAACACATCTTGATTTAGAGAAGCCAAGAATGTCGCGCATTTGTTGCCCGATCTGCGGCCCGGTCAGGGTGGTGCTCGCCCGACCGAGCGCGAGGGTGGTTGTAGGACGCTGCTCCGCCGCACAACCAAGCAGTTGTCGCCCTATCGGGTGCGAGAGAGAAGAAGAAATTGGAAGCCTTGCTGTCCAGTTCTCTGTTTTATCGCCCTACAGGGCGCGAGTCTTCATTCTAGATTTCGTGGCTTCGCCGCCCGGCAGGGCCACCACAGCCCGGCCGGGCGCGAGAAGGTTCTTGGTTGCATCGTTCAGAATGACCCGGTCGGGCGGTCGTCAGCCCGGCAGGGCAAGTGTGAAGGCTGGAAGTTTCTGACGGTTGTTTGTCAGTTTCTTCACAATGTTTGGGTGCTTTATTTTCTCTAATATAAATATGTTCAAAGAGCATATGTTGAATATAACTTCAAGAAAAATCAATCTAGCATTTTCTCTTGAAACCTTTTGCAAGTTTTAATTATCATCATCATAAATTCTCAAATTTTGTTTTACAATAGACCACAAATATACTACACACTATTGTGGTTGTCTTCGTTGTATTTCCTAGTAATTTCGTGATACCCGGTGTGTTTAATCAAGGTCGAAATATTATTTTGGGAAAGTGATTTTGTTTACGCCTCAAAATGTTAGTTTGTCCAAGTTCGTTGCAATTTTTGTGACCCGGTAATCTTTTTCCCCAACAATTAGCTTCTAGCTTAATCAAAATGATCGATGGTACGCAGATAGTCTAAGATTAGATCAGTAATTTAAGATCAAAGATATTATACGTTTTTCATTGTGAGCCACTACTTATGTTTGCTAAGACACCATAAAGGTCCATTGTACACTCACACAAATTAGACATCATTTTAGTAATCATTAATTTATAAATTAATTTGATCCACAAGTTTTTGTTGCTCCCTAGATGTTGCTTGATCCTGTTTTTGTAATAAATTAGGTAACTGCGAAACATGTAATAGAGGGATATGCTACTAGTAATACAAAGGGCATATGTATATCCTTTATTTATTACCATAAACTTTAAAAACAATTATGTTGGGAACTGAAATTAAATAGATTGTGAACTTAAAAATAAGTATAAAGAATACAGGAGTAGCTTAAGATGAATATTAAGCTGTACCGAACACTTGCTTTATCCTTATTACTTCCTTACAACTCAAGAATGTAATTTTCTAGGCAATATCGGCCGGTAAATTTCCAGCAAATAAGGAGATAGGAGTGAGTTGTAGTTCTGGATTTTCCAACAAATGCGGTAGCCGGATTTTACCAACGTTGATTTGGAAGTGAAGCATGGCTTGCGGGAAAACCATGACATCACCAACCTCTAATTTTTTATAGTATGCAGTGTTGTTGGTATCAATAAATCCAACAATGATTGAACCTTTTACCAAAATAAGAACTTCTGACGTATGATGGGAGTATACTGGGATTACTCCTCCTACTGTAAAATCTAACCTGACCATCGATATACTTAAACCATTAAAGACTGGGAATACATCTGAAAATGCTAATGTCACATTGTTGCCAAAAACATTGTTAGGAGTTTTTTCACCACGAAAACCTGTGTAAACAAAATCATCAGTTGTGACTTTAACAGAATCTTTGCAAGCTTATCCTTCAAGTCGTCTAGGAACACTTTGATCCCCAACACAAAACACTACTACATTTTTTACCTATTGCAACCCCCAAATCAGTTGCATTAGGCGTCAAATTCCGTGGCATTAGGCCTAATGCAACAGCCATGTACCTTGGCATTTGCTGGCGTTGCAATAGGTGTAATGCAATGGTATACGACACCTAATACCGCGGTAGCTATGATCCGTTGCTTTAGCTCTATACCTGATACCACGACATAAATTATCCATGACAATAGATTACTGACTAATAATTACGAGTAGTAACTAATCAATGAAGCACAAACTGATTGACATGGCCCATCTAATTTTGATCCAATCCACCCGATTGTGTATCAGCCTAGACACAACTACACAAGTAGTAAGGAACATATCAATTTTACTATTTCGACAACACACAAATTTGACTAGTAGCAATCTTCTATTCAGGGGTATCTTCCCCTATAGTTTTTCCAAGATAAACTGAATCATGTCTCACCTATACAACAATTCCAAGATCTAACTTAAGAATCATGTTCTAATTGATTGATAATTCAGAGATGTAGTGGGCTATAAAAAGCATGAACATCAACAACAACAATATACAACAATAAAAAGCAGTAGCAAACAACTAAAGCATCAACCATATATAGAAGGGAAAAAAAAAAAGCAAAAGCAACAGTGGGCATCAGAAAAATACATCAACAACATCAACATTTCAACAATAGTTACTGTAGAATCAGGGTAGCAGCATACAACAAAAGCTAGACAGAAGCAATAGAAAATAATTTATGTTACCTGATAAATTGTGGCACCAGATGTAAAAGATTGCCCATTTTGGTCAACGAGAAGATGTGGCGCACTAGATGCTTCCTTTGGAGCAGATGGAATTGCAAAATCAGGAATGAAAAGATTGATCCCAGGGTTAGCATCCCGAAGTTGAGTCAAAATTGTAGTTATTACGCTTGGTGCAAGTTGTTGTACTAATTGAGATTGCATACTTTCTAAAAATTCCGTCGGGAATATGAAATCTGACTTTTAATCTTTTTTCTTCAAATCTGACTTTTTTACACCTTTTCCTTGTAGGCGTACACGGCTTTTGCGCTTAGGATCAAGAATCGCTTCGGAGTAAGTGTCCTTAGAGTTACTACCATCTTCATGTTTGGAAGACTTCAAAGCATCCATTTTAGCCTAATTTAGGAAAATATAGCCACCTACTTATTATTTATCAAAACTAAACAAATATAACATACATCTAAAATGTTAACTCACAATATTCTCTTTTATCTTTTCATGGTTAGTAAGGTATGTCCTTCCCACCGTTCTCTTTCTTGACTCATTATAGACCCTTGCTTGAGAAGGTTCTTGCTTATCAGGATCATGTTGTTGCTGTGGAAACATAATACATAAAATTGAAGTGATTACAAATAATTAAAGGACAGGGGTGAAAGCCTCATGTAGTACATGTAATGATTGTAAAATAAAGATTATAAAGATAATATAATTGCCTAGAAATGAGATGAATTATTTACCAACTCATGGCGTAAAATTGCGTAAGAGTTACGGCCCATAGTGTGGATATCATCTATTATTAGGTGATTGTGTTGGTTGATCTTACTGATTTCCTATGTAATAAAACATTCCAGGAAAAGAATTTAGAATTGAGTACATATGGATAACACAAGATTTATAACTTTGAACCACGTAAATAAATCATAAAAACAGTAAACTAAAAGAGGATATTTAGGCCATGAAACTATGTGAATATTGCACAAAAACAGTTCAAAACCATATACATAATACCCCAGCCTCTTTAGAATGCCAATATTGCAAAAGCTCTTTGAATTAAGGTTCTGAAATTGTGTCTGGCTTATGAAACCATCTTAAAGCATCAGTGGGATATTCATAGAAGTAGTTCTTCTTAGTAAAGCATTTATTAGCTTTCCAGCTTCCATTGATAACCTACATCACTCATGCTTTTCCTAAACAAATCATGAAAATAAAACATTAGTATGTAACATGTAGCATATGGAGGTTTAAGTATTAACGAGGAATTAATTATGGTCGACTAATAAAATATGAAATACAACAAATTGAAGCTAAAGAATTATATTACAACATACTTGGATATAATCCCACATTTTGTCAAGTGTGGGTAGACATGGAAACTAAATATAATTTAGTGGTGCAAGTTCAGAATCCCTTGCCACAGTTCCTAAGAATTGCTTGAACTCCTGAACAATTTCCCGTGTAGGTCCAACTGGTTGGCCCAGTGTGTTTAAAACAATAACTTCACGCTTGTCTCTTGTTCGTGCATGAACCTTGGGTAGCATTGTTGGACCTCGATGCCTTTTGCTTTTAGAAGCTTTTTCAGTTTCTGTTTCTATTTATAAATTTGTAATAAACATGTTACAAGATAGAGGTTGAAAATACATCAACTAAATACTATAATCACGAGAATGCAAACTGAATCAGCAAGTGTTACTTTCGATAAACTCTTTAGTTTTACTGACTTGCATTTGCACTTTAGAAACTGAAAATTTTAGTCTTATAAATTTATCAGGAGGTTCTTGGAAATTATTTTGACTAATGCATTTCTTGTAATCGAATTTTTTAATATGTTTGGACTATATTGTAGAGCTGGAAACAAAATAAATTCAGAGTAAGAAATATCTCTCTAAATCAAAGCAACTAAATATGTACACTGTCACAAATAGATATAGATCAAGTTATACATATAATTCCTTGTGGGCTAGTGGATATCAAAATAGTGTTGAATTAATTAAGCAAGGAAGCAATAACGGAATCTTTCAGAACACAGTGTTGAATTAATTAAAATATTTATGCTAAAGGACACAGGCTTATAGCTAAACGGTCCAGAAGAAATGAGCAAATAAAGGCAAATATTAAGAATCAGTCATTAAATCAGTGCAACCACCAATTTTTCTCATACAGGCATTTGCGTGGCCAGACATGAAAAGAGAAACTTCAAGCATAAATCATGATATGGCCAGTTAATCAGTTCTTCAAGCCTAGGGTAGCTATTGGCAGAATCCAACTCGCAATGTACTCCGACATTTCATAATTTAGACATCTCGGTAATATCTTCTAATCAATAATATTGCTCCAACTCAAACTCTAACTAAATTAATGAAGCAATAAGCTAAAACTAAATCAATTTGCCCCAGAAATCTTGAAATAAATTTAAGCCCATTTAGTAAACAAATCCAGATAAATAAGAGAAAAACAATTCACAAGACTTTGACATGTTAACAGAAGCCGAAATAAATAATACTACGTATAATGATTGCAAATACCTTTCATACCCCTTCCATACTGAGATAGAACTTCATCTTCTAATTCTTGATCACCCTCATATTCATTACCAACATCATCATCATTCTCATTTAGTGCATCCGCTTTATCATTCTCATTTAGTGGATCCGCTTCATCATTGTCATTCTCATTGAATGCAGTGCCATTATTCCTTGCTTTTCTTGTAAGAGAATTATTCAAAGATTGATTACTTGCTACAAACGCTTCATTATTTTCTTTTTGCTTTTTTTCGGAACTTGAGGTACGCTGACATGGAACCAGGAGAACAGAACGCTCGTTTTGTTCCCTTCTTTTCTGAGATAACTTGCTGCTTCTTTTGGATGCATTGATCTTGAACTCTAGCAACCTTAATTGAGTTATTGTTCTGAACTTCATCAACTGCATGCTTCTTACGGCTATTCACTTCCACAACATCAGCCATAGCTTTGGGGTGAAGTGATGATTTCTTTACTTGCTTTGAAACTTATAAAACAAAAGGCAATTAAATCATTACTAATTACATGTAAACCGTGACAAACAATAAAAACAGTCTGTATAAATGAAAAATAATAAAACTGAACACCTGTTTACTGGCTTTTCCTTTTCCAGAAGCGAGATTGTCAGCTTCTATAATGTTATCAGTTTCAACTTCATTTTCACCATCATATTCTGACGTAGAGTCATCATCTTCATTTTCTGGTATACTATTCTGCCTTGCACTTGGACAAAGTAAGGCTTTTGTTTTTTATTCAAGTATCTTATTAGCCACAGATGCCAATCCTCGTGCTTCCATTCTTTCTGCATTGAATTTTAGTTTTTGAAGCCGTTGTAGCTCATATTCTGTAAGCTGACTTTGGGAAGCAGAAACTTTGGGTCTATTCCGTTTCATCTGGAAAAAAAATGGAAGTATGTTAATTTTGTATGTAAATACAATAAACTGAAATGAATTGCAATGTAAAATAAGCTTATTTATAACATATAGTGAAGTATTAAAATAATGTATGTCAATACCATCTGAAAACTCTCTAGGAGGGATTTGAATAGCATAATGCTAACCTTCTTTATTCAAATATTCTACATAAAACACTTGATGTGCTTGATTTGCTAAAAAAAAGGTTCTTCTTTAGAAACGGTCTTATTCATATTAACCGTAATGAGCTCATCATCATCCTTTTCCGAGTGAAACCATTGGCAACTAAATAAGACAACACTGTAATGACCATGATAGGATATCTCAATGATTTCAATTATTGAACCATAATAATTAACATTTCCCACAACAGGATTTTGATCTTTGGAGCTTACAAAGCTATGTGTAATGGCTGTTAGAGTGATGCCATTGTTTTGAGTTACGCAGTTTGCATCTCGCTTCATGGTATGAAACCTATAGGCGTTAACTGAGTACCCCGTGTACTTTTTGGCAACGTGGGACCTTTTGATAACCACAAAATATGGTCCGGGATATTATCATGACCTTCTTTAAGAATCAAATCAACTTTCTCCCTAAACCAATCCACGAAATCCTTGTTATGGTCTTGAGCACTATTCCATTTTCTTTTCCTTTTAACATTCATACAAATCTTGTTCTCACTGTAAAAATAAAATATTTATCTTACTAACGCACTAGAGTTAGAATAAAGACATTTAAAAAAAAAATTAAACCTACATTATGGTTACAAATCTTACCTTATATATTTTTCAACTTCCTCACAATCACAATTAAACAAGACATAACGATGCACTTGTGCCCATGTAATAGAGGGAAGTCCTGAAATTTTCCGCGCGCTTCTTACTTTTTCATTATACAATAATCACATACCGTTGCATCAGCTCCCTTTTTGTTGAAATAGCTAGGCTAATGCAACAGTTCTTTAGAGCCGTTGTATTAGCTCTACCTCTAAGAACATTAGTGTTGAATCCATGGCATTAGCCTACTTTATTGCAACGACAATTAAAATACCGTTGTATTAGCCTTTATTAGGCCGTTGCATTTGGTTAAAAAATGTAGTAGTGAAAGTAGAGTTCTATGGCTTGTGAGACAGAGGCTAAGAGACAAAAGATGATGAAAACTGAAAGATTGTTCGTTGTGTAAGCTAGAAATAGGTGGTACAAATTGTGGATATAGGATGTAATTAAAAGATAGGTTTTTGTGATGTAGATGGGTTGATTGTATTTTCTTTATGTGGCAAATGACACCCTTTATATAGAACTTTGCCGAGTTGTTTACGAGGCAGCTCTCTTTCTAGATTATTAAGACTTGTTCAGTCACTTGATCGAGACGACATCAATCGTTTACTGACTATTATAAATTATATTATATTTAATTTATTAGTTTAATCAAAATCAATGATTTTTAAGTATGATTTTATTGACTCAAAGTTTGCATTTTTTATATTCTATTAAATTTATTTGTATAACTATTTTTGAGAGAATGTACTGCGTTGTTTTTTTTTTTATTTAGAGGTTACTTAGAAATTAATACTTCAATGTTTCTATTTCCTTTTTTTTAAAAAAAAAAAAAAAAAAAAAAAAGATATGCTTAAAATTGTCTTTGGCACTTAGCTAGTTAGTTAGTTACTTGTATATGCGTGAATTATATTCGTACATTTTTGGCTTCTGATTTGCCTTTCCTAGCTCTTCAAAAATAAGTTTATATTATTATTATTATTATTATTATAATTATTATTATTATTATTATTATTATTATTATTATTATTATTATTATTATTTATTTATTTATTTATTTATTTATTTTTTTAGGGATATTCAGCCCTACGACGTTGACTACATGCATAAGAGTATGAGACTAGACTTTTTTTTTTTTTTTTTCCAATTGACATAGTTGTCAACTTGATATACAATAAATATACTAGATCAAGGGTATACCCTTTAGAAATTGCACACTCGAACAATACATTAGAAATAATATCACGTCAAAAATAATGTGTCCGTTGTCTGGACTTATATTCAAGTTTTTGTTTTTTTAATTATAGTTTATTTATTTATTTATTTATTTTGGTAACATTTTGCTCCATTAACATGTGTCCCTCTTGAATTGCATGCCTAATTCAACTTGTTGGAAGATGACTCAAGAAACAATCGAGGCTTGGCATATAACCTAAAGAGATAAACTACTTGTGTTAAGCATATCTCTCAAACTACTTGAAGCTTTGACGTGATTCAAGTTGTAGGTGAAAGCTTGTTTTAAGAGGTTTCTAACGATAGGTCATAAGCTTAATTACGACGAGAAACGTGCAAGTTATATCTGTTTTACTTCGAGCTATCTTTGCTGACCTGAATAGGGGTTGCACGTCTGTGCCAATTTTGGCACGTCCGTGCAGTTGGAGTTCCAGACGAGCAATAGCTAATGAAATGTTTAATCTAGGCTAGCACGTTTGTGGCTTCTTTGGCACGTCCGTGCGTACCTGATACTCTGTCCAAATCTGTCGAGGGTTTAAATACCCATTTGGGGTTATTTTGTTTATTATCCCCAAATTGAGAGATATACATTGAGAGCTAGGGTTCTTGTTTTGTAACCTTTGTGCTTTAGAGTGGAAATTAGTGAGAGATTATACTCTTGTAAACACTAATTAAAATCAATACAACTATTCTCCTTGCTTTGGGTGGGTTTTATAGTCTTCAGGTACGTAATTCCAACCTTTCAATTTCATGTTTACTATCAAATTTCTTAATTGTTCTTCACTAATTACTTCAATTATCAACTGTTTGCTCTAACACAACTTATTCAGGCAAGCCACTTGTTACCTTGTTGGCATAATTTATTAAAATCGAGATTCTACTAAGATTCAATAGGGGCTTTAAAAATCGAATTGTAGTATCTTATGATTCTACGAACATGCATAATCAAGACGCCAGACTCAAATTTCACTGAATGTGTTTATATTATAAGTTAAAAACTTAATTATTGTTAGAAAACACTTCATATTTGTTTACTCACTATATATGCAGCCGAGGAAATACAAGTTTATTTTCGTGATAAACAAATTTTGTTTATCAGGGGGACAAAAGTGTAATTTTTGCGATGAAAATGGGTTAAACTGCTACTTGAGGTAGCAGTTTTGTTTTTACTCCGTGATAAATGAAATTTGTTTATCACGGAGATTAACTGGGGCAGCCTCATATGCAGCCAATTCAATAATTGACACAACACATATTTATTAATATGTTGTAAATTTGTAAGGTTTTTGCTAGTTAATTAAGTGAAATATGTTTTAAATTAAAAGATAAAAGTTAGGAGAAATTGTAAAATCGGGTAGAATTATATTGTAATTAAATCGAATCATATGACCACACTATATATGAATTGTAAATTCGCAAAATTCTAAGAAAGTCTTTATTTTTAGTAACGTTAATTGTTTTCAAATGTAGTAAGAAAATTATCATTATTGGTGGCATTTTGTTTTGACTTTTTTCACATTTGGTAGTAACACCGAAAAAAAATGATAGTAATCATTCAATGATCATGTAATTTTGATATTTATACATACAATGTAAAAAGATTGATTGTATATTTAACAGTATTAAACTATAGATTGCAAGATAATGGCATAGTGCTGATGCCATGGATTTTGTATAACATACACAAAGTAAATTAAGATCAGCCAAAATTAAGAATAAGAACCTTCTCATATACATGTGACGTATACTAGGGTAGCCCTCTATATATGCTGTTATATATGCAATGTGACGTACTGTACGCGCCGGTTTAGTAACATCTTGATAAAAATATGGAGGAGTACTTCAATTTTATTATGTTTTTCAAGACAATATTACAAATATTAATTATTCCCTTTGTTCATAAATGTTCACAATATTCGACTAACACTACTTTGACCTTATAACAAACATTAATTGTCTTGTTTGTGGTTGATTTTGGTGTGGGTTAGTTTTGGTGGTGGTGTGGGGTGTTGGTGTGGGTAATTTTCTATGGCGGTGGGGTGTGGGTGTAGGTTAGTTTCCCGTGTAGGTTATATGTTACGTTGTTAGTGTACAAATTAAAAGTTAAGACTTTGATCAAGTCGTAATCAAGCATTTGATAAAGTATGGGGAACTTGCATAATTCTTTTTATTTCCTCCGTTAACTATTAATTGCAACAAAGGTTTATTTTAGGTCTCACAAATAATACCCCCTTTGTTGTAACTAATACTTAGGCCCCGTTCACCTCACCTTATTTTTGCTGAAATAAAATTATTTTTGCTGAACTTAAATTATTTTTGTTGAACTTTATTATTGTTACTGAATTGAAATTATTTTTGTTGAACTAAAATTAATTTTACTGAACTGAAATTATTTTTGCTGAACTGAAATTATTTCTACTGATTTTCTATTATATATTTTCTTTATAGTTACTGAATTTTACTGAAATGAACTTATTTTACTGAACTGAAATTATTTTTACTGAACTGAAATTATTTTTACTGAACTGAACTTATTTTTACTAAACTGGAATTTTTACTTAATATTATTTTTTTAAGGTAAAGGAAACAGGGCCTTAACGGAGGAAGTATTGGGGTTGATATGTCTCCCTCATTTTTCGGACTCCTACACCTAAGAAAATTGGTGATCGAGATTTAGTTTATTTTTGTCTTGAGATTCTTTCGTTTAAATGAATTATAATGAAATATAATTGTTTTAAATCACATAGGTTAGGTGGGTTTGTGTGGTTGTTTACGGTGTTGGTGTGGGGTATGGATTTTGAAAGGGTGAAGGCCGGTGGTGCAGGGGGAAGATGTGGGAGGGTGGTGCAACTAGCAATAACCTTAGGTTTCTTTTCCTTAATATATTTGGAATTCTAAGGAAAGAATAACTTGTAATTGCTTTTGTTATTTGAAGCAGATTAATATAAGTAACTAAGATAAGGAGGACGTATTTGTGTTTGACTAATCAACCGTATATTTATATTTGACTAATTAAGGCTGTTTGTTGAGATAAATAGGTATAAATTTTAAAAAAAATTGGTCAATTAATAACCATAAAAATAAGTAAAAGACGGTACTTATACACAATTAAAGATTGAAGAAGGGAATATAACAAAAAGATAAATGAATTTTTATTGATTATGAGATTATAAGAAGTATACAATCATGAAAATCAACAATTCGTTACGTAACATGTGAGAGTGATACGCTGCAAGTAGCCAAGTAATACAATGGGCATTCATATACCCTTTATTTTCATACTATTAAGAAATAAATAAGTTGGACATTGAGATAAATCGGTAGCTTAGAATATAAGATTAGCTTAGGAAGGATATTATGCTGTGCCGAATATTCGCTTCATTCGCATTACCTCTTTATGACTCAAGAGTGTAATTTTCTGGGCTATGTCAGCAGGTAAATTGCCAGCAAATAAGGATGTAGGAGTGAGTTGTAATGCTGGGTTTGCACTATTCAAACTAACGAAGGCAGTAGCCGGAGTTTTGCCAACGTTGATTTGGAAGTGAAGCATGGCTTGTGGAAATACCATCACATCACCAACCTCTAATCTTTTATAGTATGCGGTGTTGTTGGTGTCAATAAATCCAGCAATAATTGAACCTTTTACCAAAAGAAGAACTTCTGACGTACGATGGGAGTGTACTGGGATAACTCCTCCTATGGCAAAGTCTAATCTGGCCATAGATATGCCTAAACCATTGAAGGCTGGGAACACATCTGAAAATGCTAATGTCACATTGTTCCCAAAAACATTGTTCGGAGTTTTTTCACCACGGAAACCCGTGTAAACAAAATCATCAGTTGTGACTTTAGCAGGATCTTTGCAAGCATATCCTTCAGGTCCTCTAGGAAGACTAAGATCTCCGACACAAAAGTCGAGTTCTATAGCATGTGACAAGGAGGATAGGAGACAGGAAACAAAGAAAAACGAAAGATTTCTCATTTTGTTAGAAGCTAGAAATATGTGATACTACAGATGGTGGAAAAATGAGGTAATGAAGATGAAGGTTTTTGTATGTAGATGGTTTGATTGTATTTTCTTTGCGGCAATTGACACCCTTTATATAGGACTGCCAAGCATGCAAATGTATCAGACAGTTAACCGTTGTACGCGGCTTAAAGAATAATATAAATGACTTATGCAATAATTTAAAGAGGAATTTGATTATTTAAGAGATAACCAATTCAATTATTTATTTGTAGCATTTTATTGACTCATAGTTTGCATTTATTAATCCATTGAATTTATATTTATCCATAGACTTTTTCCTTTTTGCTCTTCCTTTTTTTTATTATTTTTTTTTAATAGTTTGAGGTTCATTTTTCATTGATGTTAACAGGATTTCATTAAAAGTACATAACTAAATAAGCCATCTAAGGTCTTGAAATAAATAAGTAGTACTTCATATATTTTCTAAATTGTTACTTCGTACTTTGTATTAATTAAAATTACATGTAAAATTATGCATAAATCATTGTATTGAATGATATTACTTCCTTTTCAACATAATCACAAATTATTCCTAGCTAGCGTAGGATTTTATTTTCTTTTGTTTAATTTTTAAAAATCATTTCAATTTAGATTTGGCTTAAATTTTTTTTTTTTCCCTGAAATATTTTTTATTGTTACAAAGATATCCGCATAGTTCTTTAAAAAAACTAGTACATTGTTGGCTTTTGGCTTGACTTTCCACATGAAAGATATGATTGACTAATAAATTATTTACTCCGTATTTTATTTAAATATTCGGTATTAGGCTATATAGCCTTCAGCCCCATAAAGTTGAGTTAAAGCAAGGGACTAGAGGTATTAAATCTTTATTCTCAACTGTTGGTCTTATATTCAAGATGTTTTATGCTAATTAAATTTGCTAATTACATACAAGAGAGTGTCTTATGCAATAACGTATTACTTGGCCTATTTTTTATTTTTTTTCTTTAAATGGGTCACTTGTTAATTATAGCAAGAAAAATGATATATACAGAGTACATATAAAGAGGTTATAGAAGAAAATATAAATGTTTTGATCTATACGCGTCATGTATATCTAATCTTTCTAAAGCAATACTTCCCTTGTTTTTAATACTAGTAAAGCATCTCTTGGACACGTTATTTGAGGAAGTGATTAGTGAAGGTAAACAAAAAAATAATTGAAAATAACTTTAACAGTAATATCTTAACCCTTTTCTTTTTTTAGTAGTAAATTAAAGTTCTTTATGATAATTTTGTCCATTTTGTTGAGCTCTAAGTTTTAATGATGACTTAAGCAAACTTATGTGTTTAATAACTAGTTTGTAAGTTGTGTGAGTGGAAGATTTCATGAGGGAATCCATAATATGTGATGATGATCTGGAGTAGGAGGGAGCATATTACAAAGTCAGATTCAACTTATGAAGAATGAAGAGTTCATCACTTGAGGTAATTAGAGTTGAAGTTCCTTTGAAGAAATTTAAGTAATATAGGTTTACAGTCAGGGGCGGACCCACCTTTAGTCATAGTGGGTCCGGTGACACAGTATTTTTTTTAAAAAATAAAATATCAAAGAGACCCCTTATTATAGATAGGCGGTCTCTTTGATGCTGCTATTGGTAACAACAAACAACATCAAAGAGACCTCTTATTAAGGTAGGCGATCTCTTTAATGCTGCTATTGCTACTTAAATATTAAAGAGACTTGTTATTTATATAAGAGCTCTCTTTGATGCTGCTATTGCATTTCACAATTTTTTTAACCGATTTTAATATTTCCCCATAAAGCTTATCAATTAACTAAAAAATCATAAAGTTAATTCAATATAATAATTTTATTGTACCATTTGCTTATAACATGTTATTTGTAGTATTTTCGACTTGTAAAATTGAATTCTTAAGTACTGTATTTGGTTGTGGTATGTATTTTTGTGTCCTATTTTTGGATTGAAATCAATTTGGTGAAATATATATATATATATATATATATATATATATATATATATATATAATTTTTGGATTAAAATTAATTATGAACAAGACATGGAAAAAAAATTTGTACTTTCACAAATGATCAATAATTGATGGTGACACACTATCTCGGAAATCTTGGATCCGCCACTGTTTACAGTAGTTAGAGACATGCAATACCAGTTTTAAGTAATATACTTGCCTTTAGTGATAGTATAGTGATCTATTTTAAACCTTTTTAAAATAAATCATATGTTAATTGTTAATTGTTCTTTAGTGAATGTTGCCTGAATGTTCTTTAGTCAGAATAGCATCAAAGGGAAATACTACATTGTAGTGCTTCCATCTTATACATAATTTTATAAGAAACAAACACTAAGGAGCTATGCCCAAAATTTACTACAATTTTAAAATAGATCACTATCCTAAAGTAAGTTTTAAAATAGATCATACATTGTTGTATGAAGGATGACAAGGAAGTGTTAATTGTTTACAAGTTGGTGCGTAAAGAAGGCATTAGATTGAAATGTATAAATAAGAATATGTCAGGGTATATAAATGAAGATGAGTATAAGGAGGAGGTGGTGGTCACATGGGAATGTAAGGGTATAAGAAGGAGGTGGTTTCCTGCAATGTCAGGATATCTTATTTTGTCTTGTGAAGACTTCCGTCTTCCTCATGTTTGTAGTCTTCTTCCTGATCTTGTCTATAACTTGATATAGCATAAATACATGGTACTTACATGATGGTTAGTGCTTTTCCGATATGTCTGTTGTACTGTAGACTTTAGAGTGCAATTGTCATATCCCCAATTTAACCTATATAAATGATAATTATGGATGGTGCAAATAAATAACAGGTGCAAATAATAATGAAGAGATTAGTGGTTGGTTAGTAGGAGAAACTCGAGCAACACTTGTAGAAATACATGAATTGTATTGTCAACATGCTGCTGCAGTTGGTTTTAGTGTTAGAAAAGCAAAACACGCAAGCAAAACCGGAACTAAAGACATCATCACCAAAAAGGTCTTTGTATGCTCTGCAGCTGGACTAAGAAATTATGGTAGAAAGAAGGAAAAAATTCCAGAAAAACTCTTGATAGAGGAAAGTTCTTCAGTTAGAAAAAAAAAACACGGGAAAGTAGGAGAGTTCCAATAACAAGGACGAACTGCAATGCTTTGATAATACCCAAATTGAATGGAGAGGGGCAATTTGAGATAGTTCAGCATGTGTTGGTGCACAATCATCCACTCACTAGACCACAATGGAACCATTTCCACCGTTCAGAGCATGCAATGACTAAAATTAAAGGGCAAGCGATTTAGGCCATGCAAGAATCTGGACTAAGACCTATGGAATCCTTTAATTACATGTCAAATGAAGCTGGAGGAGAAGATGCTATTGGCCATACAGTGAAAGAACACATGAATTATTGTTATAAACTGAAAATAAAGGCCATTGAAGGAGGAGATTTTCAAGTAGTTTGTGACAAATTACAGGAAGCTTATTCTGAAGACCCTTACTTCTTTTTCAGAGTAAGGTTGGACGCAGATGGAAGGGTTGGTAACTTGTTTTGGAGGGATTCTATGATGCTTGAAGATTACAAAATATATGGGGATGTCACTGTATTTGACACCACATATAAGACGAATCGTTACGACCTCATTTGTGCACCCTTTGTAGGAATAAACAACCACTAGAAGAACACTATGTTTGCTTGTTCTTTTATTGGTGATGAGACCATAGAGTCATTTGTGTGGCTATTTGAGACCTTCAAAAAGGCAATAGGTGGTAAATGTCCTGTCTCACTGTTTACAGACCAAGATGCAGCCATGGCAGCAGCAATACCCAAGGTAATTTCTAATTTTGAAGGAAATTTTTGAATACTACTACATCTAAATATGTTTATACTGAAATTATATTTAGTTACCTCTATTTTAAATGCAGTAACCATTTGTGAAACTATAGTAACTGTATAAAAATGTACAGGTATTTCCAAACACTAGACATAGACTATGTCTATGGCATTTGATTCAAAATGCTATAACAAGATTTGGAGTTTTGAAGAGTGATGACACATTCAAAGCTGCTTTCACGAAATGCTTAAGTGGTTGTATTAACGAAGCTCAGTTTGAAGTATGTTGGGATTCAATGATGACAAAGTACAAGCTGAAAAACGACAGTTGGTTCAAGAGGTTATACTCACTAAAGCATAAGTGGTCAACAGCTCTAAGTAAGGACTTTTTCTCCGCGAGAATCTTGCCGCCACAGAGAAGTGAGAACACAAATCATGCAGTGGGATCAAAGCAAACAAGAAGACAAGTTTGACAGAATTCTACAACATATTTCAAAAGACATTGAAGACTTGGAGAAGGAATGAAGATTTTTATGAGTTCAATAGCACAAAATCAATTCCTACTTCAAGTTTTCCGATGTCTGCCTTACTTAGACATGCTGCTGAGGTTTATATACATACATTATTCAGGGACTTTGAAGAAGAATTCAACCTAGCCATTGGATCTCAAACTAAACTGCTATTGATTAATGGAGTCAAAATAGTTTACCAAGTGTACCTTGAAGGCTCAGATGGCACAACTCAAGCAGTAATTTACGATCAAGCAAACCAAACAATTCAATGTCCATGTAAGAATTTTGAAGAGTTGGGTTGGTTATGCTTCCATAGCCTTAAAATCTTGCACATGCATTCTGTTGAAAAAAATCCCAGAGCAATATATATCTTTCAGATGGACTAGTTTGGCTAAGGTTGAAGTTTGGAAAAGTAAGGAGGTAGAGAAAAAGAAGAATGGGACATTAAACAACTTCACACCCTGGAGGCTACACATGGTGAGGAAGTATTATAGTCTAATCCTTAAGAGCTACAAGTTTCAACAAGCAAGTAAAGTCTTAGAAGAAAGCTTCACAAAAGATTTAAGTGCAATAGATGAGATTATTTCTGCTATGAACTCAACTAACAACCATTTTGAGAACACTACAAGTGTAGAAGAGAATTCAGAAGCAACTTCATCTAGTGTTATTCAAGTACTAGACCCAGCTCGTGCAAAAACTAAAGGAAGACAATCAAATAAAAGGATTCTAGGAAGTTGTGACTACATGAAAAAGGGGAAGAGGAGGAAGCATAGAGAATTTGGTGCCAAATCACCAAATATTAATAATAAGTATATGCTCTAATAGCTAAAGACATTAAATTTTGTCTTAAGAACACCAAATTTTGTCATAGTAACCTGTATTGTTACATGGTTACGTTTTATTTGTAATTTCATTTTTGGAAACTTTATATCTTTTAAATACTGATTATTATGACATAGTGTCTTTTATGATTGACATAGTAACCTTTAATTTTGAGATATAAATTTTTTGGAATAGTAACCTTTTTTTCACAATATAATGATCTTTATTCCTAAATAGTAATCTTTATTTCATACCCTTGTATTGTTAGTTTTTCACCATTAATTAACATATAGTCCATAATTTTGACATAGTTACCTTTATATTTAGAATAGTAACCTTATTAATAAAATAGTGACTTTATTTTAACATATAGTGA